TTCTATTGAGTTTATAAAAATTATGCTGAATGTATACCTTTCAGTATCATTTTTACTGCATTTTTAATTCATTTGCTGCACTATAGTAAATATTTTCAGTGAAGTTAGTTTAAGCAACTGCTGAAGTACTTCATTTCTCTAGAACGAATTGCTAAAGCTGGCTTCCTAACGCAAACCAAGGAATGAACACTATGACAGTGACAGAATGTGCTTCCATCAACGCTTCTCTTCCCTGACACATGTACACCCTTGCTCACAGCTATACAAATTATCCATGGAAATTACTCTTTCTGAAATAGAGACAACCTTTCTTTCACACCTCAGCCTGATTCCCACACCACCAGGCCTCAGAATATCAATGGCAGAGTGTACTATAGTCCAAGCTTAAAAGTAGAAAAGGCCACAACCACACCTCTTCCCTACCTCCACCAGCAGCAGAGCTCCCTGTGCTGCTGGTATTAAAAGACAATACTCACCCATTCAATCGCTGTTTACTGTTGAAGCAGATATTCTTTGCCTCTTCTTGGAAAATGAGGGAGGAAAAAAAAAAGAAAAAAAAGAAAAGGATAGTGCACTGGCTATATTGGTGACAGATCTCCAAGTAGGGCAGAATTATCACCGGTTTTAGCTTTATCAGTATGTACTTTCCTGAGCTTCCCATATTGTAACAACACACGCAAAAACAGCAGTCAAACCGCAACACACGAACACCTGCTGCAAAGCCAGGTTTCAAATGGTTTCAAAACTCCTAAGTTTTCACCTATCACTTACAAAGTTTCATTACAATATACACACATAATACAATTAAAACACATTTACAATGTAGTAAGTTCTATTGTAAAAGACGCTAACAAACATGCATATATAAATATATATATAAAAAAATAAATATTTTGCACAACCATCAGTTTCCACGAGAAAGAAGCCTTCAAGCAGACAGTGCTGTATACAGCAGATTTCACTGTGACAGTGGAATCTTAACAAAACATTGCGTGACCTTTCTGCATTTAAATTTTCAGTCCAAATTGTGCATTAATAGAGTGCTTGCAGCAGAACTAGAGAATGATTTATATAAAGACTGGTGTTAATTACTGACTGTGATCAGGAAGATAAATGAGAGAATGTAAGGCTCTCAGTAGCACCCTCCTCAACTCTTGCTTAATTTTCCAATGTACTGCTGCTGTTCTCCACAAGGCTACAAACTAGCCGTGAGATCACCAATGTCATTCTTCCCCAGTTGCTCTCTATTCTGCTCCCCCTTATCAAAGTGTAGCAGTTCTGTCCGAGATGCCTGACAGCAAATCAGCCCCATTTACAAAAATAAAATAAAATAAAACTTCTAACATACAACAGTATGATTAATTCCAGCTTATGATCCATATTGCTTCTGCTACAACAAAAGCAATGCTTGAGAGAACATCTCTAGATGGCTTCTATTGCTTCTGGCAGCAGAGGAAGCTGTCCTCTTCAGAAGCATTGGGAGGAATCAGGATTTGTAAGCCTTCTGCTGCTGGATTTGCTCTGGTTGAGATAAAAATGCAAAGGGAGTCCAAGGGAAGGAACAAGTCAACAAAAAAACAGATAACATGGCACAGACAGGAAAGAGAAAGAATAATTACAAAACCAGGGAAAACATTTGTGAGGCAGGACAGAACTTATAGATAGTGATAACTTTCATGTACATAACTAGAAGTTTAGAAGCCCTGCACCTGAAGAGACTATTTGCATCCTAGGGCTCAGGATCAGTAAATGGTTTTCAGCAGCTTTGATCTAGTGAACAGAACCTTCCACAGAATGCATCCCTTGTAAATATATTTTGCAGAGATACTGTAAAATCTCTCAAGAACATTGTTACAGATTAATGGAGTATGGAGTACCCTTAATGGGAAATTAAGCTATAACAATGCACATCAAAATCTTTACACTGCTACTGTAAAAATACTTATTAAAAGATACAGCCGGCAGAGTTAACCTTTACTTTTACAAAAGGGCTGTGCTGTTCATACCTGGCAGGCAGTCGAATCTGTCTCTTCTCTCCTATCTTGCCCACCTCTCTACAGCTCTTTCTGGGTTAGCTTCTCACTGAAAGTTTAGTGGTCCTCTCACATCTTGTTGTATATGCACTAAAAACTAGTCTGAACACCACAGAAAAACAAGGTGCCTCTCAGCACCAAGCATCCATATCGTACCCTCAAAGGTTCATCATCTACTTCACATCCCTTGACTCTCAGAGACAGCTGAACTCTTTGGTAGGATCAAGCCCCCAAAAAGCTACTGAATGGTATACTTCACATAATATAAATACTTATCAGAGATAAAGAGGTGGACTAAACAAGAAAGCTACAGTCAGTGTCAATACTTGGGAATAAATCTTGCCCATTCTCTCTTTTAATTGTAGGATGAGCTACAAGGAGAACTAAGCCTGCAGTTCAGTGCTACATGTAACATTCACTACCCCTTCTGAAAGAAGAGATTAAATGAACACAAATACCATTATAGAAGTGGCAGCTATATTTCTTTAGCCATGCTGTCACTTATGAAGAAACAGAGTAGTAATACCAAGGGTCCCAGATTGTATTCTCATTCTCAACTAATTGACTGACTGCTTTCCACCTCGGTTCAGTGGGAGCCAAACTGCAACAAACACCACAATATATGAAATCACTTCAGTGGTCTGTGTGCTCAGGCAGAAAACTAATCAAATCTGCATGAAACTGACTGAATCCCACGTGCTATACCACCCACAAGGTCCAGTGTGATTTGACTGCAACAGCAAATGACAGAGCTATATTCTAAGTGATTCAGGAATACAACATTTTTTGTCTTACACATTCAAAACAGTTCCTTCAGACAGCCTCCAACCATGCATTTGGTGAAGAAATTCAGTGCAGCAGACCACACCAAATCTAGCCCAAAGTAAAACAAATCCTCAACTTAAATAACGGGTAGATGTACCCACCAACTGTTGATATTTACTCATTCACTTCTGTTACACTGAACTACTTGCAAATATATACACTGCCTTAGTTTTCTCCAGGTTTTTCAGTGACTGTGTCTACTCTGCAGAAAAGCAAAAGCAGTGGCATTTAGGTTGTTACTAAAATCTTTTTGCTTCATTTACACAGGCATTCAGTGGAACAAAGTGCCAGCTTCTATCTTTTTTCCCCCCTAGAAAGTTTCTCCACTCAAACCTGAAGCCTAGATGCAACTTAAGTCCAGATGCACAAGTAAAATTGTCCACCCTCCTGCAGTTTACAGCCACACATTAATAGCTGGAAGAACAGTACAACTGGGCAACCACTTTAGAGAAGCAACATCTGACCACATATGGGACTATCACACCATGAAATAAAATATGAGTCTTCAGTTGCCATTCAGTTTTTTGTGATTAACCATAACGGACATAAGGAGGAAAAAAAGAGGGAGAGGAAGAACACTTCAGTGCAATATAAAATGTTCCTGAACAGCTGAAAGCAGACAAGCACCATGAGATAGCCAGACAGATGTAACAAAGATCACAGTCAATCTGTCACCGAGAGGCCAGTGGCATGCAAGTGCTACACTTATGTCTCCAAATACAAAAAGAGCAAACGTGCTAACCCTTCTATAGAAAATGCGCCCTTTTTCTCTCTACAGTAGGTCCCTGATACTACAATTTGACACTGATGGACAACTCCTTCACCTCCATGAAACCACATTGAATCTAGCACAGCTCTGCATATTCGAAAGGAGTTACTAAAGACAAAAGAACTGAGAAGGCATGTAACACCTGTTCTAATGAAAACTTGTCTCATTATAAAAATCTGGAAATCGCACTAAGTGGAAAACTCATGCTGCTTAACAGCACATTAACAGATTATTTTCCAACAAATCACTCAATGTGAAGGAAATATCATTAAGAGATCAACTGAAAAAAAACCAACAGTAGGTAACAATCAAAACTGTATTTTCCATGGCAGAAACACACAATAAGGAAAAGCTTAAAAAAAAAAGGTATAGCTGATTTATGCATAAAAGGAAGTCAATTTATGTATAGGAGTGACTTGCTTATCAAGTTTTCAACATTAATACTCCAAATAGAGAGTTAACATACCTCCAACTTAAAAAGATCATGTTTGGTTCCAGGAATGATGTACTAAACTGCTTCTAGATAATTCTTTACTGCTGCCTTAATACAAGTTCAATTTAGTCTCTACCAGTCACTGTTGGTTAGTTTGCGTGTATTTGTTTGCCGTGAGAAAAAAAAAAAACAAAACAAACCCCAAACTCGTAATATTGCTTTGAAAACAGGATTTGCTCTTTCATAGAGACCAGCAATAGTTACATACATTATGTCCTCTTCAGTGACCCAGCATGCTTTACAAACTGCTTTTGAGAACCATTCATTCCTCATAAAACACTGGCTGAGTGAAACACAGCAGCTTCTTCTGAAAAAAATACAAAAAAGTATCTAGGCTAGAGCAAATAAAGAACAGCATTTCCACTTCTGGCGAAAGGTTTTAATTCGGAGGCAACACCCAGCTAACTATTGTTACTGTTATGTTTCTTGGATGAAAACTGATTCAGTCTTGGCCAGGAGATAACATTTCCAATGACCAGAAACTCAGAGAGCGCTCCAGAGCATAAGACTGGCATAAGTCCAAAGCGGCGGCTAACGAAAGCATCACCATTAGTTTGAAGAGCATCGCCTGGCAGTGCTCTTCGGTAGTTTTTGACAGCAGCAGAAACTTGCCTACTCCACCCAAGCTCCATAGAAAAGCGCACTAGGAACCACTGAACTGGGCTAGACACCCACGGAGAACACACTGCACCATCAGCAACACTTCTGAACAACAAGGACACCTAACAGGTCGCTGCAAATGTCAGAAGACCACACTTCAACACAGATGACCACCAGCATGTAAACAACAGTAACTTTTAAAACCCATCCTGTCTTATTCATGTCAGAAAGTTACAAAGAAATTTAGAAGTCACCCTTCTAATCACCACGCGTATTTTACCTAAATAGATCAAGCCAAATCCTCCATGGCCAACCTGACTGCCCAGCCTCCAGACTTTTCCTTCCGTGTCTTTCAGGATCATGTCTCTTGGCAGAGGAACCGGCAGCTTGCCTCTGCCTCGATCCTTAGGCGGCATCGCACCTTGAGGGAGGGGAAAATTAAAGGAGAAGCTGAGGGTTTTTACAAGAAACAATATCCCTCAATGTCCCTTTGCTAGCAGGCACCGAGCAGGGGCCCAGCTCTCCGCGGCCGCCCTCGGCGATCCCCCTCAGGGCGGCGCCGGGCGGTTCCTCCCCGCCTCAGGGCCAAAGGGCCTTTCAGCTGAGCGGCAGGCCGAGGCGGCCGACTCGCAGCGGCGTCCCCTCCAACGGCCGACGGGACGGGGGTAGTAAGCGGCCCGCGCTCGGCCCCGCCGCCCGCTCGCCCCACACCCACCTCCGCCAGCTACGAACTTCCCAGCTGGGAACTTCCCGCAAGCCGGGCCCAAGCGGCGAGGACCCGCCCGCAGCAGGAGGAGGAGGAGGACGGCCGCCGTCTTCCCGCGGCAAACACCGGGGCGGGGAACAGGGGAGGGCCGGACGGCCTTCGGCCGGGCCGCGGGCTCTGCCCGCCCTGCCTCGCCGGCGGCGGGGCGGGACTCCCTCAGCAGCCCCGCTCCCCTCAGCGAGGCGGAGCCCGACGCGGGGGTGGTGGGGGAGGTGTCGCGCGCCTCCCTCAGGCCGCCGGGCGCTCGCGCAGCGCTCCCCCCTGAGGCGCCGGCACGTCCCTCCAGGGGGAACGGAGACGCTGCAGGAGCCCGGCCGGTTCGGCCTTGCCTCTTTTTGAGCCGCACTTCGCAAGTGAGCAATTTACTTTTTTTTTTTCTTCCTTAAAGTGCTTTGGTGCATATCGAAGTAGTTGATGAGACTGTTCCCCGAGGTTTTAAAAAAATAATAATAATTTTAAAAAACAATCTTAACTCACAGGGGTTTCAGGGTGCTGCACAGACTTCAGGAGCTGTCACAGTGCCACTCCTTGGCCAGGCTGCTTCATTTTTTCCTCGGGGTCTTCCAGGTGTAGGTCAAGGATCACATCTACGCACAGAAACTTGCCCCAAACCAGCATGCAACACCTCCTGCGTTCATCCCCGGGTGAGACGACAGAGGCTCACGCTGCCTCAAGTGTTGGTAGCCACCAGCAGCCCCATAGCACAGTGGGAAGAGGCAACAGTCAGTCAGCCGCCATTGCTCCGGGCAGGTAGAGAGAACAGATGCAGCTGACCCAGGGGTGGATCACCCCATCACCACCGCTAGGCTGCAAGTTGGGAATAAAGGACAAGAGTGCTTTTTTTATTCCCCAGGCTCACAGGGCATGCCTCTAATCACAAGCAACCACCTTGTGCTATCTTTGCTTTATTAATAGGGTCCACCCACCCCACCAGCACACCACACCTAGTTAGAGCTCACTGGGGACCACCATGTCTTCCAAGCAATGACTACCAGTCCTTTTACCCAAAAAAATATAGGTTCAAGAATAATCAAAATCCAGAACATCTTCAGCAACCACATAATTTGCAAGTGAACTTAAAAGTAGTAACACAGCTTATGACTACAAAGTATATATTGCCATCGGTACAGTAGGCCTTCCTTAACACAACAAACCTTTCTGCTTCATCAGTCCGGCAGGGTTTGTGGGTTTACCATTACTGAAAGGAACAGCTGAGGAATTACCGGTAGAAAGGTCAACCATAAAGCAAACAAATTCAAGATTGCCATAAAGCATTTCACAGGGTTTCTCCCCTTTGCAAAAGTCAAAACAGACTGTAGGAGGGTGGGGTTGGGGTTATTTTGTTTGTTGGGGTTATTTTGTTTGTTGGGGGTTTTTTCTTCAAAAAAAACAAACGAAACCACAGATGCCCCATGCTGCAAAGAAACCATTACCACTCATTGGAGAGAGCTAGCACCTTTATTCAGAGACCATTTGGGCAAAGCTCTCAGGATATCTGTCACTTGGTATGACAGCCACTGTTCTGCCATGGGTGAAGGATCTTTTCAGAAGAAAATTGTCTTCAAATAGTTGCCTAGGAAAAAGAAAACAAGTGTCTGTTTAAGGAGAAAGCGTTTTTGCTGAACTGTTGTGAAGAGGTATTCACATGAATAAACTGAAACGAAAGCATGTATTAGAGCATTTACTGCTTCTTAGCTATCTTTCCCTGCCCACAAAAGTACAACAACATCAGGACAAGAAAGTGAAACAGATCAGGTGACGTTTGCATTTGTCTTCTACACATTCAGGAGATTCCAGTGATAGCATTAGATTGCTAGCAGATGCCTACATTGTTACATAGTTTAAGGCTTTTTTTTTTTCTTTTTTTTTTTAGAACCAGGAAAAACCCCATAAATTAGAAGACTCGAAATTGTGTGGAGGAAAAAACAGATTAAGTATAAATAGAAAGATACATGATCCTACAGAAACAGAACTGATTAGATATTCTTATTTTTATTTTATTTAAGTACAGAAGAACTGGAATTGATTTCCCTTTTGTTCCCACAAAACCATTGAGAATACTCTAACATCAGGAAGTTAGCGGAATATATTGATTTAATGAAAGGTTGGGGTTCAATGCAAAACTTTACAGTTCAGAAATATAAGTTGTTTTGAGCTTATTTAGTGCTTTTTATTCATGAGTAAGGATAAGATCACAGAAAGAAAACAAGTTCCTACAGTTCTGAGGAATAATGAAGTCATCAGAAAAGGCTATTTTGAAAATAGTCATTGTAAGCTAACAGCAAAACTAAAAGTAGAACTAGAAACACAAAGGTCTATTTCATTGTTAATGAATACAGTAGCATATGTAATCTGTTACTGTTTTTGAAAACTTCAGTCAGGTTGTATAACAGCTGTTTGACTTGTACAACAAAGATACCTACATAGGTAGTCGAAGTTTAAGGTCTTCATTTTTTAAATGAAAGTTTTCTTGTACTACTAAAAGAAAAGAAATTGCAAGTTTACAGCTTCAACTCCATCCAAAATGGAGGATTATCTGAAGTCTTAGCCATCTTTAATATCACGCAGCTCTTTCATAACTTGCACAGTTTAACATTATCATGTAGTATAAAAAGGTTTAAGATATATACCCTACAAGTCACAGAAAATATTTATGGGTTTGGTTGGTTGGGGTTTTTTGGTTTGGGGTTTTTTTTTTTGAGAGAGAGGGGACAAAGTACAAACTTTTAAAGCTTTTACCATTTATTAGAACAGTTAAAAAACCCTCAAAGACAAACACATAGGAATGTAATAGAGACTAATAATATCACTCAGACAAAAAGAAAAAAATTTACTAAAAAGAGAAGTTTCCTGCACATACCAGGCTACTCCTGAAGAATGAGTTTGTCACTTAAATCCAGATCTTTATTAATAAACCACCATAACTAGTAGGCCCACAGAAATAATATATGCAAATGTCACTAATTTTTTTTTATACAGTTCTGTTCTAGGCAATGCAAAATAAAAACTTAACACACAAATTTTTTTAAAAATCAACAAAGATCAAAGACCTTACATGAGGAAAAACTCTAATCAGATTAAAGCTTAATACTAGAGCCTTTTGCCCTATAAATAGCACATCCCTGTGTTTTGTAGGCAGGACTAAGGAACCCTCTTTTCCTGTCGGGCTGAACTGGAAATGGGGCTTTTTTTTCCCCCCTGCTTATCGTCAGCCAACTAGCAACCCTCCCAAGAAACATGAGCTTTATTTAGTCAGGTTAAAGCCTCCATTGCCTCTTCACAGTTGCTTCAAGTCAGCAGTTTGGGATTGTGATATAAAGAGGATGAATGGCCAAAATAATTATAGATATGAGGGTGGGTTTTAGTTTGTTCTATGGTGGTTTTTTTTCAGGAAAGCCTAATTATGATGGAAGCAATTTCCTTTCAAGGTGATGTAGGCACCATTACTGCCAAATTCAAGAATCCTTATAGGAGAAAGGTGTGTATGCTAACAAGAGTAAAAATATTCAAATCCTGCCAGCATACAACTGAAAATGTTACCAAATTACTGTTATTTTACTTCCTAATGGCACATTGCTGCAAACAGCTGAGGGCCACAGGCCTGTCTCGTGAAGAATCTATCCCTCATGCAGCTTAGGTGGGCATTTTCTCATTAGTCAGAGTTATATATTAGAAGTGGTAGAAAAGATGCAGTTTGGATGTTTGTTTTAGTGTTCTGGGTATTTTTAGGGTTTTATTAATTTGTTTTGCTTGGTATATACTTACATAATACATGAGAAAATCTGAGTGTCTCTGTAGAGTTGATACAGGTGTGGTCACTGTTGTATTACTGAAAAAGAGAATGGTGGCACTGTACTTCTTAAGTTATTCTAAGATTATTGCTAATATCCTGGGCTGGCTCTTCTGCAAAGGTAAATACAGTGATCTAGTTTGGGGGTGAAGATGTGAGTGTAGATCATTTTACATAGTAGATCAAAGTTAGGTACCCAAGTAATGTATGGTTTTCTGTCTAGCTGTGTATTCAGGTGTCTGGTGCTATTTAATATCTGGCCTTTTGGATTTGTAGGTGCCCAAGAGGCACTTTGAAAGTTGGAAGTAAGCCTGTAAGGTACAAACTTTGGAAGTTTTATCCTTGCCTGTGGCTCAGAAGCAGTATTGTACTCCTAATCCTTTTCCCAGAGTAAGTTCTAGAGGGTTACAAAAAGCTATGCTATGTTATCATGGGTTGCGTTTTAAAAGTGTGGTGAGATTCTCGGGGCATGAGTGCTTTCATTAAGTGTTTAATAATACAGTGAACTGGTTTTATCTCTGTCCTGAGACTGTATTTGTTTCTGTCTTTGTTTTAAAGCACTGTACATTAAACATTTGCTCTGTTTTCCATTTATTTCAATCCTTTTTTTCTTCTCCTTGCTCAAACCTAAGCTTGAGTATGGAAGATTTTAGTCAATTATATGAAATCTTGCAGTATCCAATACACAAAGCCCCTTAAATTTGCTACAGTAGGTGAGCAACTTGTAGCTTCTCTCACTATTGCTTTGTGATGCTTTCGTGGTATTTAACACTGACATTTTAACACTTCCACATTTAATTCCCCCCTTCCACTCTGGACCTCCTTGTTGCTTAAAATATCATTGCTAAATTTACACTAGAGATGTAACATCTCTGTATTAAGAACATTGACAACAAGGCATCAAGTTTCAGACTGTTTGCCAGTTTCTGCTGAGAAATCTATTTGTGTTTGTGCATCTGTGCAGAGTGCCGTACTCTTGCTGTGCTTATTCAGTTGTCACTGTGCTTGCTGCCAGTTTCTTAGAACTTTTAAAGTAATTACTTTTTGCAGTATCAAGGGATCTCCAACATCCAGGGGGCATGTTGCTCAACTCCGTCATTGTCTAGGTGCATTGACACCCATTTTAAAGACTCTTGACTCTATTTTGTGTGACTGGCCCTGTGATTGAGATCACATAATTACAATAATTAGGAAGCTCACCTCAGGATATTATCAGAGCAACCCACCCAAACCTAAGTCCATATGGTTTGAAATAGCTAATGAGTCAGTTAATGTGCTATGTCCAGGAGTAATGGACACTCAATATGGATGGCATGAAG